AGCTGTAGTATTTTAGGTTGCAAAAAATCTCAGGGTAGGCTATATTTTGAAGACATTACTGTGTGCATCTGAAACCAGTGACAAACGTGTTTTTGACAGTTCCTATTTCAACATATAGCTATGTTATGTTCCTATAAGCAGAGCAAACATTTAAATGAACCATCCCAATCCGTTGATGAGGGAACCTTTTTAGAAAATCAAGCCCCATTCTCTGCGGCTGGGGCATCCACGATTTGACAGCTGCAGGGGCTTCTCGTCTCCCTATTCAACATTGTAATTTTAGATAATATCCCAAGCGTTCACTCTCCTCGGCAATTTGTACATGAATAACCGAATAATTTCATCTTTTGTTTCGTCTTTGCCACTTCAAATCCAAATAAAGATGCCTTTTAGTATTAAAAGTGGTAGAAAATTACAGGTAATTATCTTTGACGGTAAAAACGCTGTAATCAGCGGGCGACATCAAAAATTACCCTAATTATGTCTGCATTTATGAGAATGGAAAAAAAACCTCTCTTGGATAAAACCCATAAATTGTCCCAAATATCTCCTTCATATTGAACGAGACTGCAGCTGGATGCTTTGTTCAGGATCGATCCTGTGGCGAAAGGCATTCAGCGTCTCGCAGATCAAGGCAGAGAGAAAGGGGAAAAACATTTTGTCAATACCTTAATAATTGAGCTAGAGAATGACAAGATGGACAAGATGCAGCTCTATTCTGTAGGAAAAACACTTTCCACCAACCATCAACTCGGGTAAGCTATTTTGTTATTGCTTCAGATAGCTTTCCAGCATGAGAAAAAATTCATAATGTGGTGGTAATTATTTACATTTTACTGTGCAAGTTGTTTATAGGTCCTAATTTTATGTTTTATAAAGGAATTATTTATTCAATGCAGATTATTCCAATAATCAAATTCATAGCTGATTCTAAAAAGCGTGTTTCATATGGTCTCTAAGAGAAAAAAGGCACAACACGTTACTTGAAGTCATGTTTACTCCATTTATGACAAAACATAAAAAGTTAACAACAACTAAAATCGGACAATATATTTACAATCAAATTGCTTGCTTTTGCATGATCAGAAACATCTACGCAAGAGGTTTGAGTTCGTTTTCAAATGCGACTCAAGCGCGTGATATGACAACGTTTCGCTTCCTGTTCCAATTTTAAGTTGGCGATGAGTGTGTTTGATTACAGTCAAACGTAAGAACAGATTTTTAATCAATCCGTTTATGATGCTACTGACAGTTAGTTCCATTGTCGACCTTCACCACATCAAATGTCTTCATCCTTCTAAAGAAATCGTCGCCTTAATAGGCTAGAATAGGTCTCTATTAAGGATGTGAAACCGATGACAATGTGCGTACTAGCGCACGTGAACTGGGCGAAGACAGGATGTCAACATCAAGGCCTCTGGCCTAAAAAGGGCTAGTTGCCTATCTCTGCATGGCGTCCTGATGAGGCGACGAGTACCAGTGTGAGTAACCGGGCATGTAGCTGTTAGCAGACATGTTTACTCCTTTAGAGGAGGCTGAGACGTCCCAGATAGGAGGAATGGCTGGAGAGCGCGGGGACAGGGCGATGGAGCCGGGCAAAGGGTCAATCTCGTGAGGGTTACCGCCTTGTTTTAACAACTTCTTGAACTTGGACCTTTTGTTTTGAAACCATATCTTTACCTGAAAGACAAATAAAAAATTTAGGTTGCTAAATTGTTAAGTGAAGGTGGTGTCTAATTTAGTGTAACGTGAGAAAAAAAAGTAGGCTTATTATCTACTTCCAAAACACCATCATTCCAACATTATTAATAACAACACTCTAATATAACACATAACCTAAATGAAAAGCACAGTTCACTGATAATGTAAATGAGTCCACATCTCACCTGTGTCTGTGTGACCCCGAGAGAGGCAGCCAGTTCCGCGCGCTCTGGTAACGCCAGGTATTGAGTCTGCTGGAAACGGTAATTTAATGCCTGGAGCTGCAAACTGGAATAAATCGTCCTCGGTTTTCTGATCTTTTTGCCTTTTCCGTTGAAACGTATTTCTCCATTTTCAATCACTGTTGTTTTCTGCTGTTCTGAAAAGGGTAAATATTGTGGAATGATTCCCGCACATAAATAGAAGTCTGTATAGAATTTTAAAAGCGATTTTTTTGATAAACAAAAATAGTCTGTAATGTTCTTTCAAGCACTCTATAGCATAATTACATTGTCTGTCATATTTAGGAAATTGCATGTAGTGACAAGTCGAGACGGAGACAATTAGATGCTAATTATAATTTGCAATGGTGGGCAGAATCACTGGCGGAACGCAATAAATCATTTCGAGGAGAACACCGTTATCGCTGACATATAGGACGGGCAAAACTAGGCGACAAAAAAAGAAAAAGGGTAAGGACCTTTAAAAAAAAAAAAGAACTTACAATGCTTGTCCCATGTTACATTTTATCGAAGTACAGCTTTCCTCGGTTAGGTTAGCAATGAAAACGGAGCTGTATGTTTACGCATGTAAATACGCTTACCTGTGGCGTCTAACCTGGTCTGTGTTCCGCTGGCGTTACTGTGGTAGGACGTCAGGTATGAACTGTGGTGGGGATGGCTTACATAGGAGTAAGGTAGCGACCTGTTATAGGAGTTCGAGCCGGAGTACGGAGAGCTGTCGTGCTGCTGCTGATGATGAGACCCGGAATGGAGACAGTGAAGCGGATAATGGCTGGCGGCCATCGAAGGGGAGCTCTGTTGTGAGTGCGATTGCTGTCCAAACTCCATGAAAGCAGATTTTGACGAGTCTTGAGCCTCCAGACCGTCAGCCATCGTAGTCATGGTCATCATCAAATTTTCTGCTTTGAGAGCACTTACCCCCTATCTCTGAAGTCCAAATGAGTCCTTTCGTTGTGTTCGTTTCTTTCTCTCCTTGGTTAGGAGATATTGCGTTATTACCTCCACACTTTATCCTTTTTTGTCCTGTAATTCTCACGCGGTATGGTGGAAGGGGGGCTTTGAGTAAAGGCAGAGATTTTAAGGTGGATTCTGTTAAATTTGAGTCCTTGCTTCCAGACTTGATGCAGCCACTACAAGTAAAATGGTTTGTCTCCAAAGGGCAGCGCCTTCCGATTGGTCATTCAACCTAACGTCATCAGTTCTCTGCTTTAGCTGAGACTTCACAGTGAGTTAACCTACCTTAACAGCTCCCACCGTAGCCATAACGATGTGGAGAATAATAATGCTGGGATATCCCTCTGATATTCACAAAATTCCCACTCAGATGTCGCGCGCTACCATCGAAGTAATTAATCGCGCGGTTCGCAACCGCGGCAGAGGTGCCAAATAACGCTTAGCCTACAAACCGCGCCAACACTGCATGAATCGAACCCATTCAGTTAGAACAGGATATAGGACAGCGACTTTATTGCCTTGTGTCCAACTACAAAGTCACGTTTATATGAACGTTAATCTCTAAGTGCATTTACAAAACAGCAGAATCCACAATAGTAAAATAATAACACAACACAAATAAAACCACACGGTGATTTACAGTATAGAAAAAAAATATATTAGGTGAAAATGTGCGATGTCAAAATAGAAAAAGCATAGTTTTAATCGTCTTCAGAGAGGATTCACGTGAACTACTAAACACGCCAGATATGGTCTAGTTTAATTAAGCCCCAGTCACTGAAAGGCCCGGGTTAGTGACAGCCTTTCCTTGTAGTAATCACGAGCCAGTCACAGTTGAAAATATATGAAAAATTACGAGTGCAGTTTGTAGTTTGGCAAATGGCGATCACATTATAAACCACGATGTAAATATACCCTACAACTGCAAGGCTTTATTTAATCTCATCTCACTCAATTTTTATTTTAAGACAACGAGTTTCCTCATGATATGGCATAAATTTACTTTAAATGGTAATGAAAAAGCAATTATGGTCGCAATCAGTTATATCCAAATCCTCTTTGATTATCCGTTACACTGTATTCAGACTGGGGCTATAAAATTAAGAACAATTCGTCTGTAATGATTATGGACCTTGTTTATTTTGGGAGGTGGATTAAAAGTGGATATAGCATAAATTATCCGCTAATTATACACCAGTGTCGCCTCAATTATCCTCTTATCAAAAATTGTAGCGCTAAATGCAGCATTTAGTTTCAATTTTCTCCCTTTCTGTAACAAGAACTGCGTACCTTGCTATTATTACCAGGGATGTTATTTACTTTGCCGGATTTAAGACTGCACAAGCGGCGTAGATAACCATTTTCCATGGTGGACTGAACTTGGGAGAGACAGAAAGGCAGCTGGTCGCTCTGAATTTCTTCAAGATATCAAATATTTAGAGTTCAAAGGAACTGTGCCAGGTAAGAGGAAACGTGGAACATTAGATCGTTCGTTTGAACAATTTAATATTTACTCAGTGTGTGAATGTTTTTGTTTCTTCTGAATATTCTAAATATCTGACATAATTTGCTTAAATGCAATTGTCAAATGAGTTAACAGTTGTGATCAGGAATTTGATTGATTACTGCTGCTGCATGACCAGTGTGAAAATGTTTGTCAAGCAAGTGAGAGCGAAACCAGAGACATATAGCCTTGGCATGGTACAAACAAATCTTCCAATTATGCTTTCTTGCTGGCATTTGAAGTGCTTAATTGATCGAGACTTCATGGTTTGGTTCCTTTAAAATGGCTTCCTTCACCTGCGTTGACAGTTTACCTTTGACAATTGAGGACACAAATCGAACAGCCGCCATTGAAATGAATTAGTAAAATGAAAAAAATCCCGCGGTAAACAAAGAGGGGCAAACAAAGATACACTTTTTTCCTTTCATTTTCATTTTCCCCTTTCATTTTGTAAATTTTGGTTAGCTGCTTTTCTGAGGCTTTGAATTCAACACTTGCAAATGTAATGGGCTCCTGATGTGCACGGGAGATAATTACGCATTTTCAATACATTCTTAATGTAAAGCAAAGTGTAATTTGTTCCTGTTTGCTTATCAGTGCAATATTTGTTCACATATTACTGTTTACAATAGCACTATTTTAAGTGTAAAGAAATATTTAAGGTCAAATGAAATATTTGCACATTCATTATACTCGCACAATAATAAAATAAATACATACGAAATTAGTTGTTTTTATCATTTTGACAAGTGGCTTGTCATTCACCTCGCATTGATAATATTTCTTAACTTGTAATCCATAAAGTCTCTAGGAGGAGTTTGTCAGAATATTACTTATGACAGTTTGACAACACACTCAACGAATAGTGGGTTACGTGTCATGACAGACACATGCTTTATTGTTATTTGGGCGCGCAGTGCCAGTGAATGTTTCAACGTATATTGTACAAAGGCTGCGTATGTCAATTTAAACTCTTAAAAATGTATTTACATGCTGCTGAATTATCGTAAAGGGTGTTTGTGTAGTGAATTGTATTTCAATAGCCTAAGGAGGAAAAATGAAAAATGCGCAGAAATAGAAAAATTTAAAATATGAGTGAAAATAGGAGTGCCTTTGAGTTTGAGAACACCTTAACCATTTTGTTACAAGTTAAAATTTAAGTAAAAGATAAACTACAAATATTTTGCTGGACACAAAAACGGCACAATAAATTTGAATTATAATTAAAAACCAAACTCTTTAGTATAGCCAAAAAAATAAATAAATAAATGTAGTTGTTTTATTTAAATGTTTTTAAATAAATGTGACTTTTTAAAGTGATTGTTAACTGCGTTGCATTATTATTATTATTATGAGAATATAACAATAGCAAAGCATGCATGTAAACCCATAAGCATCATATTACAAATCTGTTAAAAAGAAAGAGAAAGAGAGGGGATCTGTGTGGACACGCCGGCGCTCGAGTGCATCCATGCAGCCTTATCTGAGCCTTAACACATAGTTTGAAATGGAATCGTCTTCATTCCAAAAGCGCACAGGATCTTGTTGTCATTCGTCCGAAAACAGACATATTGACCGGCTCGGATGGAAAG